CACAACCCATTTTCTCGAATTCGAAAATTTCGGTCAAATCACTACTTATTCCAAACCCGGCCAAAATAACACCACAGCTCCCTCTCCTCTCCCTCATCACTAATCCACGACTATATTCCCTCGAATCAAACCCAGAAGCTTCGAATATGTGTTTGAAAATCGGGTCTCAAAACACAAGTTCATCCAAATGACTCCAAATCTTCACCATACAGTCTCCTCGTCCTCCCCTTCACAAATCCGTGGTTATTTTCTTTCGAAGTTCACCAGGTCGTCTCCAATTTCACATCTAGGGTTTTCGAATTTTCCACCTGTCTGGAGTTCTAATAATTCTGAGAATTATAGTTAATGTTATACGTTTGTTTTTGACAAAATGAACCTATAAGATTAATTAGAATTCAATCGATTAAGTTTGAAGACCAAAATCAGTGAGTTTCTTCCTTTTAATTGATTTTTTTTCTTGTTTGATTAATTCCGCTCTCATAGCCTCTAATTTCTAGTTTAATTTTGTTTTTAATTTAGTTGACTTAGGCCGCATAATTTTTGATTTTTAGTTTTGTTTTGATTTTGGTTATGATATTGTTGGTTTAATTCAGTGGTTAGTTCCTTAATTTTTACTTTATTGAATAGTTTAGTTTGGTTTTGTTTTCTAATTAGTCTCCTTAGCATTAATTTCGATTCTATTGATTCATATTGTGTACGCCCGCCTTTGATACATGATTGTGTTGTTGATATGAATTTTACTTTAGTTTCTTTTTTACTCGTTAGATAATGGTTCATTAAAATTACGGTTCATTTCAATTAATTAGTCTTAGTTAGTTTAAGTTAGTATAGTTGTTTGGTTATAGCTGACATTGACTAACTATGGTAAATTGAGACCAACGGGGCTAGGTTAGTTGATATGTGCTAGTAATTTCAGAGGGTTTCAGGGGTAGTATAGGCATGGGAAATGGTAATTTAATTAGATTTAGTAAATATTGAAATGAGGTAGGGGTAGTTTAGGGATTTCAAGTATGAAAAAATCAGAATAGAACCCCCTAGGGCTTTCTAGAAGGGGTTTTGAACTGAAAATTCACAAAATAGGTGTAGTTACTTGTGTAACAAGTCAGAAAATGAGGGGTAAAAATAGAAATAAAATAGGGACTAATGAGTAAAATGAAAATCTGAAGTTGCACCCTAAGTTTGCCTATAAATAGGCATTCAAGTGCCTTGAATAGAAAGTTTTTGAAGTCTAAAGAATTCCCAAGTCCTTACCAGCCTCAAATTCCCCCTAAAAAATTCTTTTCTTCAAGTCTAAAGTTCAAATTTGAATCTCAAAGCCTAAGAAAGTTAAAATCTGCATTTCTATAGTTCAAATGTTCTCCTAGATCTTTATTCCTATCAAAAATCCAAAAAAAAATATACAAAGAAATCAGCAGAAAATTCCAAAAAAAACTACTGTTGCCTTAAAATTTTGAGTTGATTGCAAGCTGGTTATCAGCTGAGTTTCCTATTGCTTCTAGCTTCAATTTCAAAGGGGTTTTGGAGTGTATTCGAGCTTGTTTGGGTGTATTTAGTGCTGATTTGGTGTGGTACCATTGCCTGGTTTTTCTAAATTGATTTCTGCTACTGGAATTATTGGCTGACCCCTGCTGCTGATTCCTATTTTCCCTGTTAATTTGATACCCAGGTACATTTCCTCAATTTAGAAGTCCTGGAAACAAACAATCGTTGTGTATGCACTTTGAAGTCCCCTGATGAAGAATACAAACTTTTCTATTTGAATTTGTTCTCATAATTGCTGTTAGTTTTGATACCAGTAACATGTGTTTAAACTATACTTATTTGTAATTGAATGGACTGTTTAAATGGGACTGTTGACATGAATTGGGATTATTTCGTGGTTATTGAATCTTGTAGAATTGTTGAGTATTCAATGACTTAGTATAGTTGTATCTGGTAATTGTTTAGCTTTCAATAGTGTAAGTAGCATAAGGAACTGGTTTCAGATTTTCATTTGTAAATCAGTAAATAGTGTGTATATATCCGTTTTCATTCCCGTCATTAATCATTAACCAAATTCAGTCGATTCGTTTGTGTAATAGGTCAGATCAGGAATGGATAAATAGGTATTCTGTTATTTGGATAATTAGAATTGATTCAATCCTTGCAATTATGTTTTTAGATTGATGAATTTTGGTTACCCTGTGAAGGAATAAGTAACCAAGAGTCCATATAGTTTGCAATTATATAGCCGTGTGGAGTAGGCTTTGAGCCTGGACTCACGGTAAGTTTGGGCTCCTTGGAAGCCCAAATAGTCTCATCAATCTATCTGAATTCAATTGGGCTACTGGCCCAAAATCCCTTCAGCTTGTTTCTATAAGACTCATGCTGGTTTGCAGCAATGGGCCAAATTCGTATGGCACCAGGTCAACGCCTGGCCAGCCTCATACAACAGAGCTGGGCCAAACCTTTAAGGCCCATAAAACTGCCATAAATCAAAAGCCCTTCAAAGTTACATAGGAATGTGGGGAATTAATTCACAAATATAAATTTGGGTTTCGAATTAGGTGGCGGGTTCAAATTAAGAGGGTCTTCCCTTTTGTTTGAATTCGGACTTGAACTTGAGGCCCGAATTTATAAATGCGAATTAATTAAGGCCCTTTTAGAGAGAACACTGTATAGAAAATCATAGTTTCTTTTAGAATGACCTTTAAATAAAAATGAGACGAGCCTCGCCGCACAAAACATATAAATTGCGGGGCCCTCATTAAATGCCTATATTAAAATATCTTAGAAATTCGGGACGTGACATTTAGCAAATTTTCATGGCCTCCCGCAAAGTTAACAAGACGCTAGCCACTTTAGGCGCGCTTTTTAATAATTTTACTTTCTTAACTACGCGTGCGCATTTCATGCGACCCAAATCCAAATCCCAAAATGTTGAATAAGAGGTGTTGAGGATCCGGGTGCATTTCATGTGACGTGATCCAAAAACACGCTCTTAAACGGCGTTCACTTTCGTAAAAACAAGATAACTAAAAGCGGTAAATGATCTTAAGAATTACATTATAGGTTGGAATATGTATAAAAATTAGATTTTTAGCCATTTATAATAATTTAAGCGACCGTGCTAGAACCACGGGATCCGGGGGTGCCTAACACCTTCCCTCGGGTCAACAGAATTCCTTATTCAGTATTTCTGGTTCGCAGACTCCAATTGGGAAGTCGAAATTTTCCTCGATTTGGGATTTAAATTAAATCGGTAACTTGGGACACCAAAAGCCCGTCCTATCCCAAGTGGCGACTCTAAAAATAAATAAATAATCCCATTTCGAATAATGCCACTTTAAATGGAAAAACTCCCCTATACATTATCCTTCGGGGTAGGTGTGTAAAAAAGGAGGTGTGACAGCTCTGGCGACTCTGCTGGGCAAACGAACCCAGAATTTCGATTCAGGGTTCAAGAATTCGAGCTTAGTATAATTGTTATATTTGGCTTTATCTGATTTTTCTACATATTCCATGCTATATGTGATAAATGTTTTACCGTTTTGATATTTGTTGAAACTGTATATATAAACTGTCGCAAATCCCTTCCTCTTTCTGAGTCTTCTACATCATGGAGAAGGGTGCACTTCGTGTAGCTTCTCTTCTGTTTAGAGTCTTTTCCCATTTAGAACGAGGTTTGGATAAGTTGCAAAGCCGGCGGAGCTTCTGTATCCCCGGTACGCTGCCTCCCCTCGGCTCGAGTTGTCCGCTCGGGTAAGCCATGTCTAGACCAATAAACCTAGGGTTTAAACCTAGAAGAACAAATATATTATGGACCGGAAAGAGTATCAGATATATACTCGTTAATTAATGTGTTTAAAAAGATGTACTAACAAAAAGGTGGATAGAAGAGTGATTGTTAGGTCAAAAGTCGAAATTCCTACAGTCATATAAATGGTTGAAAATTGAGGAAGAAAAGTAATGGAGAGAAGGGAGCAATAGAGCAAGGATCAGCAAGCAGCCCACCTACCACAAAATCCACAAAGTGTGAAGTACAAGGACGGTCTTTGGTTCTACAGTAAAAAGCACTGAACCACTTTTTCTTCCTTTTTCCCCACTTACCACTTATGTTCTCTCCTTTTTTATAGGTGCTAGTGCTATCATATTTTTACCACATTTAAAATATTAAAAATTCATATAGTCCATCTCAGTTATATACGATTATTGTTATTATATTAAACCTTTACTACTGCACAATTTAACGAAAATGGTTAAACTCAGAAAATGGTACTAGTATTATTGGGTTTCTAAATGTGTGAATGAGAAAAAGATACTTTTTAGATTGCACTTTTATATTTTATCCATTTGTTGTCTATAAATTTCGAGGCTTGCCTCGTTTTTCATACACAAAAAATCTGAGAATTTTCCCATTTTTTTTTCTCTATATTTCTGCATTATTTTCTGTCTACGAAGACAGTCTACTAACAAGTATTTTGTTCGCGATATTAATATATTGGAGATACTATGTACCAATACACTAACTAATTTTTTCTTAAGTTGAGCGTCTGCTTGAAATAGTTTTTCTACCTTCTTGAATATAGGGGTAAGGTCTGCCTACATCTATCCTCACTAAACCCCACTTGTAGGATTACATGGGGTCTGCATTGTACACGACTAACTTTTGCTCAAGTTATATTTTGTGCAAAAAGAGGTTGTTTGGTTTGATGTATAAACTAATTTTAATATAAAAATCTGCACTACTTATGAGTAATACAATACTGATATAACTTGTAAAAGAATTTATATATTTATACTAATATTACATGACAAGAACAGGTTTGTCATAAAAAAGAGAATTTAATTTCAAGACTCCAATTACAGATCTGAGATTAAGATATGAGAAATTCTATCCCGTTCCAGCAGACAGTGATGATAAAAAAGCTCTTTTTTTATTTTTTATTTTATTTTTCTCTCAACATAATACAAATACATAAGCTAAATATACCAATTTTTTACTCTCCTCAAACCACCGACGCCTTATAATAAATGGACAAGTATCAGGTCATTGCCAGTCCAAAAGAGGGAAAGAGGGGGACTCTCCTAGGAAAGTGAAAAGTGGGTGAATCTGGCCGCCGCCCGTCGTCAGAATTTTCCTCCGCCACCGGTAAATATGTCGTCCGGCAGGTACATGGCCTACTCACCATCTCCCTCTGCTCCTCACTCTCCTCACATCGGTGGTCTTCGCTCTGCTTCCTCTGCCCTCGCCGACCAAGAAAAGTGCGTTTCCCCCTTTTCTCTACAACTTCCTTATATATATATATATATATATATATATATATATATATATATATATATAAATTTGAAATCTTCGTCTTTGTGGATTCATGTGGTTATATACTTATTTATGGATCGTGCTGAACTTGATTAGCTTATATCCGATCTTTAGTTTTTTTTTTTTTTTTTTAAATCTTGCTTTGCCTTCCTTTATATGCTGCTTTAAATCTATTTTTTGATTAAGACCTCATTTTTCTTTTTTTCTTTTTGTAGTCTGTTTTGTCCAAAATGAAAGATCTGGTTTAACTGTTTTCTTCTTTAGTTTAAAGAATCAGTTTGAGGTTCAATAAACTCTGCCTCAGTTCCAAACGGTCAAGGATTGGCTATATGGATTCTTTGCACCCATTCGAATACTTTTATTAGGTTTGTTGCTTCAAAAAGCTGTTTGCTTTGTCCCTATGGAAAGCTGTTAATTATTGATTTCCCCTTCCTTCAGATCATTTTGTCCAATCTTCTTCGAAGAAACTAAGAGAATAACAGCTGTAAAGTAAAGATTCACTCTCCTTGCTTGAACTACTCAGGCATTGATAATCAACTTTCCAAGATCCTTTTTCCCCTTCTACAACACTTATCGGTCGAAGTGGATCCGGATTTTTAAATTGGTGGATGTGGAGTACCACTACACCCAAAACTACTTTGTGGCGGTTATGCAACTTATCATATGTGGTTCGACCTGTTGCACCCAGGGGCGGATTTAGGCTCACCGAAGCGGTGTCGGAAAATTTTACTAAATATATGTATTTATACTGTACGGAAACAGATAAGTAGGAAAAAATGACACCACTTGACATAAATTGCGTCTTGGTGTGTTGGTAATGTGCTTGATTTTTCTCCAAGAGGTTAAAGGTTCAAACCTCAACTAGCACATTTTTCTTTTGCACATTTTTCTTGTCTAAAGGTATGATAATCAAAGTTATATTTCAATTTTTTTATAAATTTCGACACCGCTTAAATTTTTTTTTACGTACGCCCCTGGTTGCACCCACTGACCAAATATTAAAATTCTGTTCTTTTGATTAACATCCTGGTTCTACTCACTGAAATTTAGAGCTTATTTTTGCTTATTCTACTGCAGTCAAGTAATAGACTTAACAAGGAGACGCTTAAGTGATAGACTTAACAAGGAGATCTCGTTGCACTATGTAAATTGGTTTTTTCGATCTTACAAAGAGTTGTATGCGTGTAATATATTTGGGTTGGAACAGTTTAGTTTTTAATATTTTAGTGAAAGACTTCCCCCTCCGGTCCTAATTAATTTATTTTTAGTGAAATTTATTCATGGGAAGCTCTACTATGCTGAATCATGAGAATGAATTTCCTTAAACACTAAGCTGAAGGATTCAATTATCTGCATTCTTTCATTGGTATAATAACTCAAAATTGTTAGAAGCTGGAGCCTCTAGCTTGGGAATATAAGCTGAAAATTTTGATAGATGTACGGATGATTATCTTCTTGTTTTGTACGTATACCATAAATTATTGCGAGTCTTTAATTTGTCAATGTGTGTTAACAGGTATCTCTCAGAGTTACTTGCGGAACGCCACAAAATCAGCCCATTTGTGCCTGTCCTTCCTCATTGCTATCGATTGCTTAATCAGGGTGAGTAAGAAGTTGAATTTTGATTATTTTAGCCACTTGTGTTTCTGATATCATTAAGTAAACTTTATTGCTTTTGCACGATAAGAAGTCAAAAGATAAATAATGAGGCTGAAAAAGCATTTTAAGTTACTAGGTACATGCATTTTTTTGGAGAAGATGGTAATCCTTTTATCGAAAAATAATGAGATGGTAAATCCCATTCATGCTTCTGTTTTGCTAATTGAATGTAAGTTTAATTCAAGTTTGAGTCTTCTATGTAAAGGTGGTCATCACTTTTTTCTGGATGATTCACAACTCTACTTGTGTATTCCATGAATGTCTTTTTGTTATTCATGCTTGACTATATATTTGGCCCATAAAACAGGTATTAGTATCACAACTTTCCTTCTTCCATGGTCTGCTGAGGCGTTGCGTTTCTGCTTATTGAGAGTGTATTAAAGATGTGTCGTAATAATTCAGTGAGAGAACAGGGTTTACATTTTAACGGTGGAGCTTGTCAAAAATTTTGTTTGTAAATAAAGTTGTGACCACCCACTAGCAAGAGAGAGAAGAGGTTAAGACAGTCATGGTGTTGAATCAGTGATTATTTCCTATATGTTGGAAATAATACTTGATTGTCCCATTCTTTGTCCCTAGTATCCTACACTTTTGTTCTAGTACTATTTAGTGCTGTAGCCTGTAACTGATCCGGAAAAGAAGAAACGTGCACTTCTGCATGTGCCACTGACTGTCAAAAGGAGTCGATGAAAGGAAAAATTGGAAACTTTAATATGACCAATTATCCAACACTAGTAGTATACAAGATTAAGATGAGGACTTCAAAATTGTTCCTTAAGATAGAAGAAGCATGAAGTGTGTCTTTTGGAGCTTGTCCAGTATTAAGGGAAGGGTTGATTTGTTGTGTGATGAAACACTTGAGCTAGAGTATGGACCTACATTTGGGTATTTCTATATCGTAGTAAGAGGTCATACTGGGCATGTTATTCCTCTTGTAAATGTGTCTGCAAATGGCAAATGGCATGCCATGGACAGGTTAGACCTATAAGGAATAATTTTTCTTTTCGTACAACTGCTTTTAAATGTCTAGGAAATGGTGGAGGATATGGCCGAAGACAAGTTGGTCCATTAAGGAATAATTTTCTTTTTATTACAACTAACTAACCAGGACCGTGTCAACCTAGTTGTTGTTTTTTGCTGTTGTCTGCATAATGTGCTCCTTCTTCAGCCAGGTTTTGCCTTCTTCTTCTTCTTCTTCTCCTTCGTCGTCCTCTCCTTCTTCAGGACTGTTTTTTTATAAAAACAATTTTTGCTTCTGATTGCTGTCAAGTGTCATACTGAATCCCTTGAAATGGCAGGTGTAGTATTTGTTATTGAGAAGATTGTATATCTTGATGTCACAGTTTGGCATCTTCACCTGAAAAAAGGTGCCTTCAAGTGCCTGTACTAATGCGTTGGTTTTTTGGGTATAATTGTGCCTTTGTGCCTTAGGTTCTTCGCCCCACGCTTCCTACCCCTACTATTCCTCTCTTCATTGGAGATGCTCCTTCCTCTCCATTTCCTTTTATTATTATTGTGTGAGGTTTCAGCCATTCATCTGACAGACATTATGCATTTCAAAAAACAGGTTTCTAGAAGAACCACCTAGAGTATTGCTTTAACAAATTATTTTTTCCTGTAAAATCCGTGAGATAACTAACCAATGAAGGATCCGTCTTGTTGTCCATATTGTGGTGGCTGCTAACTGATTTATTAACCACTGCTAACTGGTACGTCTTATTCTTGGAAATTGACATTTTTGAAGCAGAACTTTTGCGTGTAACTACACTGTTGGGGAATGCTTCAGTTTTAGATCAAAGTGGGTTTGAACAAGCTAGCCCCCTGGCTTCAGGAGGAATATATTCAAATGGAGGAGCTAATATGGACAGATGGGCATCACCATTTCAATCAGAAGTATGGATACTAACTATTAACATAACCTCTTTTAGATCTAATTCTTTATCTTTGAAAAGCTTTTCTGACAAAAGTTTACTTTCCATGCTAACTTTATTCCATTTTAAGTGTTTTTAACTTCTATCTCCACTTGTCTCATGACAGGTAGTTGAAGCTAACAACAGCGACACTGATATATTAGTTTAAGCTCAGCATCTTGATTTAGAATTTTGCTTTTAGTTACTAGGTGTCTTACTGTTCTGATATACTAACGCCCAGCTAAATTTTAGAAATAGATCTAGATGCCTATGACAGCACAGGAGCATCTTCCTCTGTGTTGATTTGAATAATTTTCTCATTAGAATGTTTGGGGCTTGTTACGGCGCTGAGCCTGAATAACGAACCCTTTACGTTCAATTCTGCTAACAATTATAGGATGCTCTCAGCCAATGTGACACATTGGAAAATCAGGTTATTGGCTTTTGAAAAATCATCAGCACTTTATTTCCTAGATCAAATTCATCAAGATCTGTTCTGTTTAAGGGTCTCAGTGTGTGTCTATTTGTTAAAATTGCATTTGTAATTAGTGGCTTATTGTCTTTATTTGTTTTCTATAAACTTGCATACATCTAGTATGTGCTTTCTTAATATTCCTCTGGTATTTCTTGGATTTTGGGATGTCTTAAATCAACTGAATCTTAAGGAGGTTCAGGGTTGGTTATCTAAAATAAGGAGGTTTCCATGTTCTCCATACTGTAGTACAAATTGTTTAACCAATTCTGTGGTTATGATGTCCAGATATCGGGTTTAATGCACTCACCATCTACTCAAAGCTGGCTTAATACTCAAAGTAACTCATCAGGCCTCATAGTGAAGCGAACACTCAGAATTGATATACCCGTGGACCAATATCCTAATGTATGAACTATTATCTATTTTTCCATCCTTTTATTCATGCTTTGGCTACATCATCTTGAGTGTGTGTTTTAGTTACATTTGCAGTACAATTTTGTGGGGCGCCTCCTGGGCCCTAGAGGGAACTCTCTAAAACGAGTGGAAGCTACTACCGAGTGCCGGGTTCTGATAAGAGGACGCGGAAGCATCAAGGATCCAATAAAGGTAATATTGTGGGATGACGTAATATTTGAGAACCCATGAAATAAGCATGAGAGGTGACCTCTGTTTCCTTCTCCGTTCCTCCTGGTCTTGTCCCAGGGTACACTGAGTTGAATTGTTTTGCCGGCTGATAGCTGTGGTGATAAATGAAGCTACTGGTTCACTTTTTTTGGCCATTAGTTAATAGCCGAAGCTCGTTGCAAAGACTATTATCTTCTTGTAGAGTTTGTATTGCTTATCTAGGTGTGTATTCCAGTACTATTCATATTGGCTGATGATGTGTTTGAAGTGCCTGATAAAGTTAGAGATAATTTGCAAAAGTATTTTGATTGAGGTGAAATTTGGAATCCAGTCATTAGAATTGTCAGGAACTCTGGTAGTGTCATTGGGTAGTCTGAGGTGGTACTCAAGTTGTAATTTGTACAATTTTGCCGCTTGGAATCATCTTTCTCAACTTTTGTGTGTATGCTGTTAATAGATGTAATTACTCCTGTTTTCCATGGAAGAGCAACATGTAACATGATAATTTACTTTTGACATATGAAGGAAGAAATGATGAGGGGCAAACCGGGGTATGAGCACCTGAATGAGCCTCTTCATGTTATTGTGGAGGCTGAACTGCCAGTGGAGATAATTGATGCTCGGCTATTGCAAGCACGTGAGATATTGGAAGATCTGCTCAAGCCTATGGTAGTTTCAACATAGATTTGCAAGTTGTCATTTTTGTCTAGTATCACACATTTTCAAAAGTGGAGAGTTGATGTTCACTATTGTCTTTTCTTCATCTTCCTCCAAATGCAGGATGAGTCCCAGGATTTCTATAAAAAACAGCAGCTACGTGAACTTGCTATGCTTAATGGTACTCTTCGTGAAGAAGGTTCTCAAATGTCTGGTTCTGTTTCCCCCTTCCACAACAGCCTTGGGATGAAGAGGGCTAAAACCAGGGGGTGATCAATTCCTTCTCTGGTGGGATATGGAGCTTGTGCATTGATACACACCATTAACCAGCAGCAGCAGGTCTTATGCAACAGGTGTTGCTATTAAGTCAAGATGCCTCGCACTGCCATCGGGGCACTGGTGCTGTTCTGTGCCAGTTCTAACTTGTCTCTATATGATATGAAGTGTGTTTATGTTCTGGTTGGGGAAGATTTAGTAATTCATAGTAGTGGACCGGTTAGGAGTTTGCTTGATGTCGCCAGGTGGTTTGTCTAGAGCGTTGTCTTACCAACGTCGTCGTATTATTCCATTAATTTCTAGTTTGTGATTGATGGTGTGGGAGTGCCTGTAATGGTAGCAAGGCGTGTGTGTACTGGAAAAAGGGTAAAAACAAAAAAAGAAGAAAAAAGTGGGCAGTTGGTGCCTTTTCGGCACTCCTTTTGGAACGTAGTATTATTTTAGGGGAGTATTATTTTAGGGGAGCATTCATCTTAATTATGCGCACATCAAGCACTTGGTATTTATTTATTGTTTGTGTTAAGTCTCTGCGTGTATGCGCTCACGGTTGTATAATTGGTGCATTCCTGCGTGACTCTCATCTTGATCCTACTCGAGGACTCTAAGGTGTTGCTTGGTAGGGTGTATAAGAATTGTATTGAGTAGGATGTATTAGTAATGTTAAGATTATTTCTTATTGATTGTTTGGCTTGGTGTATTAAAAATAACATACCATTGCAAAATTATTTTAAAAAAATATTTATTTACAAAAAGGTAGAAAATCTTGGGAAGGATTTGGAGAAGATTTTTAAAAGGGAAGCTTTGTCTTTACACATGTTTATTCATGTATTGAAAAATTATGATATTGCTTTTGCTTGTCACACCCCAACCTTGGGAGGTGTGACCGGCACATGATGCCTTAAGGCCCGTGCGAATGAACACATGCCCTTATTTAATGCCCGTGCGAATGAACACATGCCCTTACATTTTTTAATGTCCGTGTGAACGAACACATGCCCTTACATTTTTTATTCCTACAATCTAGGCCATTGAGGCTTCTAAGTAATGAGAATATCAAAATTTACAATGTGAATAACTATCTTGCAAGGAAACATTGACGTTTTATAATCTCGTTATACCCAGCCTTACATGCAATTAAATGCTAACTCTAGTCTACATGTCTTTAAGAGTACCAGAAGAAACATGCGTTTATACAACCTGGTCGGGACAGGGCCCTACCATACCTAAAATATTTATAACATTTGCTTTAGTACCTATTGACTTCTGAACAACTACTGCGAGGAAGTGGAGAGCAACAGACAGCTGAATCGTACACCTACTAGGGAGGACGTCACCGGGTCTATCTGTTCCTGTGGGCACGAACACAACGCCCAAAAGAAGGGCGTCAATATAGATAATGTACTGAGTATGCAGGACCAAGAGAAACAAGTAAATTAGAGTCATAGCATAAGAGATATGAATACGTGATTCCAACCTGAATATCGAAGACAAGCCACCGGAGCGTAAACCAAACTGTGGAAATTATGGACCATGGATCATAAATGCATGCAAACTTTTGTAAAACCAAGCCACTTATTGGGGCCATGCATTAGTTTATACTATACAAATATATATACATACCTTCAGCAACTTCACTCCATACCCGACCTCGTAGAGGACTCAGTCGTACCCGGCCACATGAGGGCTAGGTAACCTCACATCACACGTCACTCCATACTCGATCTCGTAGAGGACTCGGTCGTACCCAACCTCAGGAGGTCTCGGCTGTACTCGGTCTCAATAGAACTCGGCGTAGCCGACCTCAAGAGGGCTTGGTAGCCTCACGTCACACATCATCGTACCCGCTATACAAGGGCTCAATAATATTTCATATCATGTCTCATCATATTCAATTGATCGGTGGTTGCATAGTAGGTGCCGTATCCAATCGACTATAGTGCGGCTCGGTAGAGTAAAATAGATACATATATATAAGTGCAATGCGGTTACAGTTTCAAGAGGTAACAACTTTAAACTTAGAATGACTCATACTCTGGATACCAAATGGAAATAATGTAGACTTCGAAAGGAACGCTACCAACAAGAACGGACAAGAACAGGACAATGTCATTGAGAGTGCTTAGAACTACCAAACCTTACCGTACATGAATCATTTAGAAGGAAGGAGAGACTTACACTAACTCATGCCAGAAAGAAGGTTGCCCACATACCTTGTCGAAGAGCTAACTTTACTTCTACGGTGGTTAACTTTGCCTTTTAATGAATCTTGAGAATCAATGCCACCAGACGATGGGTGTTACAACAACGATTCCAAGTTCCTTCAAACTAAGTCCTGTTAAATTCAGATTTACCTTCGACTTTTTCTTAATTGTCTAGGAAATTCTAAAGGGGCGTTGAGAGTATTTTGAAAGGACTTATTTAGGTGATATCTTCTAGAATGAAAGAGAAAGAGTCCCACTGCCCATTTATATTGTTACCAAGCATAGGAATTTTTGCCACTTCCACATGCAAAAAGGGTCACCCCGACTTGGCTGTCGTCCCCGGTGAGACAGCTGGTGAAATTTGGTCGCTGCAGTGCCTCCTATGCCCGGTAACGTGTCACCCTCTGATTGGTTGCGCGTAAACCTCATAGATCCTCCAATTTCACATGTGGGGTGTAACATCGTTTTCCCTTCGGAACATTCGTCCTCGAATATTAAATAATGGCCCATCGTGATAGTCGCATTGTTGCCTTCCATAGTGGGGAATAAATGGCGGTACCTAGATTTCATATCTTCTTCAGCTTACCACGTCATTTCTTCCTTATTCTTGTTCCTCCAAAGTACTTTAACTGAAGTCACTTCTCTAGTTCGCAGTTTACGGACTTGTCGATCTAAGATGGCTATCGGAATTTCTTCGTAAGATAGGTCCTCTGAAACTTGGACATCTTCAATAGGGGTAACACGGGATGGATTAGTCAAGCACTTTCGGAGCATAGACACGTGGAATACCAGATGCACTAATTCCAATTCCGGGGGTAACTCAAGCTAATAAGCCACATGGCCGACCTTCTGTATGATTTGGTATGGTTTGGTATACCGGGGGATGAGTTTGCCTCTTTTACCAAATCTCATCACGCCTTTCATAGGTGACACCTTCAAAAGCACACAGTCTACCATAGCGAACTCGAAATCTCGCCGCCGGTTACCCAATACGACTTTTGCTGCTTCGAGCGGCCAACAATCGATTTTGAATTAGCTTCACCTTTTCTACAATTTGTTGCACCAGCTCTTGCCCCAATAACTTTGTTTCACCCACTTCAAACCAGCCGATAGGAGATCTGCATTTTCGTCCATATAGGGCCTCATATGGTGCCATTTGAATACTGGAATGGTAGCTGTTATTCTAAGCAAATTCGATGAGTGGTAGATGATTCTCCCAATTTCCCTGGAATTCCAAAACACATGCTTGTAACATGTCCTCGAGCGTTTGAATAGTGCGCTCGGCCTGGCCGTCGCTTTGTGGATGGAATGCTGTGCTAAGATTGATCTTTGTTCCCAATCCTTTTTGGAATGATCTATAGAAGTTAGTTGTAAACTGGGCACCTATATCTGATATGGCGGAAATCGGAACCCCATGGAGTCGAACTATCTCCTTAATGTATATCTTAGCATAATCTTCAGTCGAGAAAGTAGTTCTTACTGGTAGGAAATGAGCTAACTTGGTGAGTCGATCCACAACAACCCATATGGAATCGAACCTCTGATGTGATCGTGGTAACCCGGTAACAGAATTCATGTTGATTACTTCCTATTTCCAGACCGGAATTTCCATATTCTGCAGTATACCTCTTGGTTTCTGATGTTCAACCTTGACTTGCTGACAATTGGGGAACCGAGCAACATATTCAGCAATATCCTTCTTCATGTCATTCCACTAGTATAGTTGTCAAAGATCTTGGTACATCTTGGTTTACCCCATATGAACAGAATACGAACTAATGAATCTCTGACATGATCTACTCTCGGAGTCCCCCGACATCAGGCATGCATAGCCGGTCATGGTATCTAAGGACTCCGTCCTCGGATAGCTCGAACACTTGCTCCTTTTGAAGGGGAACACTTCCCCTCATTTTCACCAAGTTTGGATCGTCAAATTCCCGTGCTTTTACTTCTGCTACTAGTGAGAATTCAATAATATTTCGAACTATGGCTCCTCTGCTACCGGTATCGAGCAACCGTACACTTAAGTTAGCCAACTGGTATAAGTATTTAGTCATTTCCAATATGTTTTTTCACGTGTTGTAGATGCCCTTGGATTTACGACTTAATGCATCAGCCACAACGTTTTCTCTCACTGGGTTGTACAAAATATCAGTATCATAATTTTTTAACAACTCAAGCTATCTCCACTACCTCATATTTAATTCTTTCCGCTTGAATATATACTGCAAACTCTTATGATCGGTGAATATGTCAACATGAACTCCATACAGGTAGTGACGCCATATCTTTAAGGCAAATTTAACAGCTACTAGATCCAAGTCATGAGTTGGGCAATTTGCTCGTGTTTCCTTAGTTGCCTCGAAGCATAAGCGACAACTTTCCAGTGTTTCATTAGAACACTGTCCAATCCTACTCTAGAGGCATCACAATATACAACATACCCCCCGGGTCCCTCAAGAAGCGCTGGGATTGGCGCCGAGGTTAACCTATCTTTTAACTCTTGGAAGCTCTTCTCGCCAACATTGGTCCACCAAAATTTTGCTGCCTTATGTGTCAACTTTGTTAATGGAGCAGCTATAGATGTTCTCCTCAAATCTTCCATAGTAAAGTTGTGTACCTCAGTAGGAGTTGTGGGCCTTGGCCAATTCTTAATAGCTTCAATCTTTTGACAATCAACCTTGATACCTTCACCGGATACTATATGCCCAAGAAACGTCACTGAGTTCAGCCAAAACTCGCACTTGGAGAACTTGGCATACAACTTGTGATCCTAGAGTGTGCGTAAGACCTTCCGCAAATGCTCTGTGTGCTCTGCCTCCGATCGGGAGCACACCAGAATATCGTCAATGAACACTATCACAAAGATATCCAAGAATGGTCTGAATACTCGATACATCAAATCCATGAAGGCCGCCGGTGCATTGGATAGGCCAAAAGACATGGCGAAAAACTCGTAATGGCCATATCTTGTTTGAAAGGCTGTCTTCGGAATGTCGTCTCCTTTTATTCTTAACTGATAGTACCCATATTTGAGATCGATCTTTGAGAAATACTTATCACCTTGCAATTGATCGAGCAAATCATCGATCATTGGAAGCAGATACTTGTTCTTGATGGTTACCTTATTACGTTGCCGGTAATCAATATACATTCTTAACGATGCATCCTTCTTTCGAACAAATAATACTGGGGCTCCCCACGGGGAAGTACTGGGTCGAATAAATGCCTTATCAAGAAGATCTGTCAATTGATCTTTTAATTCCTTCAATTTGGCAGGAGCCATCCTGTATGGGTGAATCGATATTGGCTAAGTATCGGGGGGCACATCGATAACAAACTCAATCTCCCTTCGGGTGGAATACCTAGGAGCTCATTAGGGAGCACATCGGGGACTTTACTTACGATTGGTACCGACTGAAAGGTAGGAGGCTCCGCCTCCACATCATGCACCCGCACCAAATGATAGAAACATCCTTT